TTTTATTATACTGTTTTCTGGACCATGGGAATGGTAAGTTTAGAGAATGGAGTGATAATTCCGAGAATGAATCGGTTATAAATTTACACAATGTCAACACTTTTAATTTGTAGTAACCATACTTTTCCATTATGTTCTTCCTGACACAATTAGTATGTAATGTACCATTCACCGTACTGGTTTGATACCTCCCATTTCTGGAAGGGTTATCCACACCGCGAATTGTCATCATTTTCTAAGGCATACTATTTGATTCAACTCGCTTTTTGGCTCCAACAAGTTTTTGTTCTTAACATTGAAAAGCGGCGAAAAGATTTCGTAGAAATGATGGTTCATCACGCAATAACAATTTCACTTATGTTCTTTTCATATATCTTTAATTTCACTCGAATTGGCAATGCCGTTTTATGTATCATGGATCTTTCGGACATATTATTACCGGTGAGTTTTCTTCATATTTGGCCGTGTTCTCCGATTACAATACTGATAATCACTTACCCCCCTAAAGCTCGCAAAGATGCTTAAATACCTTAAATTCAATCGTGTTTGTGATGTCGTATTTTGTATATTTATGACGTCATGGTTGGTTACCCGCCACTATCTATATGGTTATATAATCTATAGTGCATGGACCGAACCACAAAAATATCTAGAGTTCAAATGGTCACCTGAGGAAGAATATTACCTGACGGAAAATGTGCAAAGATTTTTCCTGATCCTTTTCTCGATCCTCCAGGCTATCATTGTATTTTGGTTTTATTTAATCTGCAATGTCGCGCTGAGAGTTATCAAAGGGTCCAATGCACATGATAATCGCAGCGACTCGGAAAGGTAGGTAGTTCGCGCCATCGATTAAATCTTTACTTATTTCTGATTTATTTTTTTTTCTTTTGAAATAGTGAAAACTAGGACCGTGTCATCGTACAGGGATCGTGACTAACTTAAACTAATTTAATTGATAAGATGGGAGTCTTTGCACGAAACTACCCGATAGACATCTTCCATATATTATCATGTGCTTATTAGTAACTTATCCATATCTGGATCGTAATTTTTAATTAATCGTGGCCAGTGTAATATGTAATTAATCGTGTTGATTAAATATGTAATATAATTAAATATATTTTTTACCGTGGGAATTATTTATTCAAGTCGCTAATTCTACCTAGTTCTATTTCGTTATTAACAATAATTTCTATATGATTAAGCTATGATTTAACTGGAAGTATAATTGTTGAAATCTCGAATTAGATGAATTTGGATAGGGGGCAAATTATTAAGATTTTTCTAAATTTATTTATTTTATTTATTACAATGAATTAGATGCATCTTACTTAGAATTAGAAGAATTATCCTACTAACCATTATTAGAAAATATTTCTATTTAATCATTATTTATTATTTTCCACAATTAATAATATCTTGATTAAAGACAATTTATTTAAAATATTTAAAAAATTTTTTTAAAATTATTGTTATATTGTTGACAATATACAATACATGTGATAAAATTATTATATAATAGTAATATTGTAAATCTTTTAAATTTTTGTTATATATAAAACTTTTTTAAAATAAAATATTTTTTATTAAATAAACTAGATAAAAAGCAAATTAAATATGATTAAAGTTTGAAATAGACTTATTAATTCAGTTGTTATATAAT